AGTTTCTTTCGGTCTAGCTGTCGACATTTTTACCAAACTAAGAACAGTTTAAAAAATGAATGGAAATCGCGAAACAACCAAGCAATTGACCATAAAAGACAAGCTGTCGACGTTTTTACCAGAAAATAGAACTTTGTTGCAGAAATGAGTGAAAATTGTAAAGCATTTGAAGATGGTTGGTAATGGGAAGAACGAAGAAAAATAATTCAGTGGCTTTTGACTGTCGACGTTTTTATCAGAACAAGCACGTTTTTACTAAAGGAAGGAAAATCGCGAAAGTGCAAAGAAGAATTGCGCACATGAAAAATGTATAATGGGAAGAAGCGAGAAAGAAAAATGGAAATTTGAATGTTGAAAAACTCTGTTACTTTCGGTCTGGCCGTCGACGTTTTTTCACCAGAAGACAAACGTTGTTACAGAAATGAATGAAAACTACGAAACCTCGCAGCAATTGAACATGGAGGGCAATGAGAAGAAGAGAAATGGAAGACTATTTTCAGTTGCTTTTGCCGTTTGCAACTGTCGACAACGTTTTTATCAGGACAGGAACGTTTCTACCCAATTGAATGAAGATCATTTGCGCAAAAGTGATGGAAATTGAGATGTTGAAACTCAGATTGATTGGCTTTGTCCACGCAAGAATGACCAACTCACCAGCCAGCTCGATGACTTCTGAAAAATCCCCATGCTTTCGATGATTTGTTCCAAAATCCTCCAACACCACCCCTGACTATTAACGCGCACAAAGTGCAGTTTTGCTTGTTTTCGCTTAGGGGAAACATTCGAGTTAAACCGAGAAAAAAAATCGGCGAACGACATTTCCCGTGCTCGGTCGCCTATCAGTAAAAAGACTGTGCGAATCTGGCCGCAGGCCCGGACTGGCCCAGACGCCCATGGGGCCCGATCCCGATCCTTGGCCGGTTGCAACCAGCCGTGACGTGGGAACAAGTGAAAAATTCGTGTGCGTGCCTCGAGCCAGGCTCGTTAATTATACTGCGATGCCGATCATTTGCCGACGTAATGCCGATACTTTTCGCCCTGAACTGCTCAGGGCCCCCTGATGCTGAAAAGGGGCCCGCAGGGCCCCTTTTAAGAGGCGTTTCGTCGGTTTGGAGGCCCGGCGACAACGGCCCAAAAACCACATTCAATTATTCGGTCAAGCCGCAATTTGCTCTTCATATGATCAACTTCAGTAGTTCACTGAAACGCAAGTTGTGTGGACAATAGAGAACAAGAGATAGTCGAACCTATTTTTGGCTACCGAACACAGTAAAACCCAATTTTGGAGCTGATTTTTTGAAAAAAATCAATGTCGAATGGGGAAGGAGGAAATCGGAACTTTCACATCGGGGATGTTCAAAAAAATTAATTTCCTTTAACCTAGCCGAGGTTGAAAGGCGCGTGCAACTGCATTAAAAAAGCAAAACTTTACTCTTATTATCCTGAAAGTTTCAGGTTTCCCAAAAAATCTGAAATCACCACACTTCTTAACGAAGGTTGTTCAGTCTTGATCAACTTCAGTAGTCCACTAAAACGCAAGTTGTGTGGACAATAAGGAACAAGAGATAATCGACCCTATTTTTGGCTAGCGAACAAAGTAAACCCCGATTTTATAGCTGATTTTTTGAAAAAAGCTGTCGAATGCGGAAGGAGGAAACCGGAACATTTACCATCCCCTTTTGGAAAATCGCCAACAATTGAGAAAAAGGGGAGCAAACTGATACTAGCAGAAATTGTAGACTCAAATGCCCTCTATAGAGGGACATAAATGAAAACTTTCTATCTGATCTTCGCTTTGAGTGGGAAATGTTTGAAAGAGAACCTGCCAAAGCCAATGCGAAAGACATTTAAATTTGAAAAACCCATCCACAATAGGGTGTTTTCACTTTTTTTATGTTGATTTATAAAAAGTTATGGCAAATATTACACTGATAAAAATTTTTTTGCAAAAAGCTTGCCCAGTTTTGATAAAATTAATTTTTGAAAAAACATCTACGCAACTGCGCTAGTCGTTTAGACGCGTGCTGAGTGTTACTTCAAACACTCGCCAATGTTTACCAGATTTTTTGCGCAAAACGAAATTCTCATAGCATATAAAATGAAGTTCTGGCTTTTACACAGAGTTACAGGCGCCCTTAAATTTTGCCTCATTTTTTTTCTTCGTCCAGAAGTTGGCGCTTTTTGATGCACAATCGCTCCAGCTCTGCAATTTTCCTTTCGAAAATGTTTTGAAGCGTTTTGTGGCGTATGGATGCAGCTCAAACTGCAATTTCTTACCAACTTATGTTAAAAATTGGGACGATTATTAAGGATTGCTTCAAACATCTGCCAAATTTTCCCAGATTTTTTGCGAAAATTCAAAC